TATTATTTTTTAATATTACACTGTAATATTAACATAACAAAATTAATTTGTGATATGATCAAATTGACATTTTTCGTTGAATTAGTTTATTCGGGTGTTTTCTTGGCTTAATTGTGGGTTATTATGTTTTATGTTAAGAGTTTTTGATTTAGGTTAGGTTCTTAAAATCCGAACAGATGGTTTTGACAGTATTGCCGAATGGGGCAAAATTACGCGAGAGTTATGGGGCAAAACTACGAATGCGTATTTTTTTCCCCATTATCATAAATTAATTTTTTTACTACTAATTTCTAAATTAAATATTTATTTCATCTAAATTTTGGTTTTTCTTTTCCAGAAACTACAAAAGAAAATCAGAGCGCAAGCCTTTGACAGAAGTTAATTTGTGCGAAGCTCGTGAACTTATTAATATTACCGTTTCTATACGTCAGACAGCAAAAATTCTAGTATTTCATGAAGCGACACTACGGCAAAGGTTGATCCAAAAGGAAATGGTGTCCAGTCTTTAGGCAGATTTAAAACAGTTCTAACCAAGATCCAAGAAAATGAAATAGTTCAGCATTGCAAAGAACTCAACAACGATTTTATGAAATGACGCTGAAGTCATTGCGTTTTTTAATTTACTCTTATTGTGTAAGAGATCGTATTGAGCATCCATTTTCACTTGTAAATCAGTAGGCTGCTCGGGACTTCACTAGATCTTTTATGAAAAGGAACCGACTATCTTTAGGAGTTCCACGAAAAACAAGTATTGGTAGAACCATGGGCTTCAATAGAGTGCAACTAGCTCAGTATTTTGAAATTTTAGAGAACACTATAAAAAATATAAGTTACCTCACGTATCTACAACGTCGATGAAACGGGTATTCAGACAGTTCCAAACCATCTGCCCAAACATGTTGCCCCAGTTGGAAAGAGAGATATCTATAACAAAAGCTGTAGCTGCCGAGCAAGGACAAACAATTACGGCTGTTTGCTGTATGAGTGCAACCGGTCACCATGTTCCTCCATTTTCCGTATTTGCTCGAAAACGGATGAATCTTCTTCTAATCAAAGACGGGACCACTGCCTGCGACATGGCTGTTACTGACAGTGGTTACATGAACACTCACACGTTTATCAAGTACCTGGAGCATTTTAAAAAACATACAAGTCCAACACAAGAGAATCCCGTTCTCCTGATTCTAGATAATCATGTATCTTACACAAGTCTTCAAGCAGTAACATTTGCAAAAGATAATTTCATCCATTTATTAAGTCAGCCACCACATAGCAGCCATAAGACTCAGCCACACGATCGGGCATTTTTCAAACCATTAAAAGCTTATTATGAGAGCGTCGCTGACAGCTGGACCAGTTCCCATCCAGGACAGGTTCTCTCCATTTACCATGTGGCTGGTCTCTTTTCCATAGCGTTTGCAAAAACTGCTACTGTAGATATAGCAAAAGAGGGCTTTCGGTCTACAGGAATTTATCCACTAGATAAAAATATTTTTCAGACGTCGATATTATGCCAGCGGAAGTAACAGAGCAAGATTTAGATGAGATGAAGATAATGTTTTTATCCAGTTTCACCAAGAAAAAAAAAAGAACTTGTTACTGATTAGCTAGAGCCCTAGTCTTCATCAAAATCGGAAGTCAGAATTTCTGTACCTGGTCCTTCAAATATTGAAAAAGAAACTGTTGCTGACACCAAAGAGCCCCAGCCATCATAAAAATTAGAACAGTCAGTAATTTCACCTTCAGACATTATTCCTTTCCTAAAAATTTATATAAAGAGGAAACGTACCAGGAAAAGTTTGAAGTCAACCCTACTAACATCGACATCTAATAAGGAGCGACTTTTAGAAGAACAAGAAGAAAAGAAGGAAGCGGAAAAAGAGAAGGGGAGGAAAGAATTACTAAAGAATCAAAAGATCAAATCTCAAAGTGCTAAAGTTCGTGCTGCCAAAGAAAAGTTTTCGACGAATCATCATCTGATAAATTAGTAGCACTCTCCTATCAAGAAAGTATTGATTCTTGTGATATTGTGATATTTCATTTTTCCGAAACGATGAAAAGCAAGACATTAATGTTGTACCAAATATTTTACCTGATGATTTGGTCGTAGTGAAGGTTTTTGGAAAAAAATCATACAGATTATTTGTCGGCAAAATCTGCCAAGTAAATGATGATGATTATGAAGGCGTATTTTTTAAGCGACTGCTCACAACTTTTCGTTTTCGTCAGACAACGGAAGATGTCAACTCATGACAACTTTTTTTCGAAAGGACGATATTGTTTTAAAGCTTTCAAAGCCAATAAAAACCAGCTCTTTCAGATTCAGTAGGATTCTCTGACGATCTAGCCAAATACAGTTCTCTTTTAGATTAACGTTTTGTATTTTACGTTTGGTTTTTTTCATATGGGTTTCTTTTAAATGCCTACCATCTCTTTTATTTGAGGTTTTATATATTTTAGTTTTGGGGCAAAAATACGCACTTGCGTACTACTGCTCCATTTGTAGGGGGCAAGAGTACGCAAATGAAGGTTTTTAAATTTTTTTTTTCATTTATTAGTGAACTTATAGAACTACTGTCGATACTTAAAATGGAAAAACAATATGTATGCTCTCGCGTATTAACATTGAAATATTTCTAAACTTTTATAATTTCTGAAGACGACAGGAATTAACGAAACTGCGTGTTTTTGTCCCTAACTACTCTATGCCTAATCATATGAGAGTAGTTATTACTGCAAGAGGAGATCAAACCCATTATTAAAACATTAATTGCTAAATTTTTAATGGTCAAATACCCTTATGGTATTAGCAATAAAAAAAGTTAATTTTCTCGATTCATTAATTTTACAATGTTGAACATAAGAAGTCAAAATAAATTTTCATAATGTATACTCATATTTTAGCATATTAAATTATCTTTCAAACAGTATATCCCTTTTTTTGATCCGAATAAAAGTTTCTGGAAAAAATATAGTTCAAGTCAAAAGTTTAAATTGGGCCGATTGCTATGCACGTAAGTTTGTAAGTGCATAATAAAACAAACAAAAAATTTAAAAAATGCATAGTGGAAATAAACAGTAGAGAACTAAAGTTCATTAAAAAAGTAATCATGAAAAACGGGTAGTAACCCTATTGAGTTTTGATAAGAGAATAGATACAGTCGTACTTTCTTGAATATTGTTAAAATATAAAGTGATTAGAATTTTTATTAAAATTCTAATAATGAAAAAATATTAAATATCGCTGGAATCCATTTACTATTAAAAGCTACTTACCTGTTCAATGAACTGTGGAATCATCGCTTTTTATTAAAAAAGTTACTTCCTCCCCGACGGGTGGGTAGAAAAACTACTCCTAGCCTTTACTGGATTGGTAAAGTAAATAATAAAGTACACATCCGTAGAGATAACTACCTCAAATTATTTTTTCCGTATCAGATTAGTTATTAGAAATGAATTAATTAAGCTGATAAAAATATTATATAGGTAAGCAAACAAAAATCAAATATATATACAAACAAAGAGTCATATATTATTATTATTATGTAAATAAATATTGAAGGTGGGATAAAAGTATTATTTTTATATTCGAAATTATTTTTCCGCCTGATGTAAACAGGGTATTAAAGACTTACCTACTTCTACACATTTATTATACTGGTAGAGTTATCACTAAATTAAACAATATAACCCGAACAGAATATTACAGAATTTATGTAAATATTAGTTAAAATAAAAGCATATCCCATAACATTAAAATTCGCATATTTAATGAAATTAAAAATGTCTAGGTAATGTATAGGCATTATACGACTTAATTATAGAAATTTTTCATTTGTGACATTGAAAATTATAACTACTATTGAAAAAGAAAAACGTATTTGTGTAATAGAAAGGAAGCAATTTTAAACGTTTTAATATGAAAGTTGGTTTGGAGATTACCAACCACCTTGGAGATTACAGAACCATTTATGGAACAATAGCAGTGTGCGAGCAGAATATACCATGTATGGTCCACGTCCATTTATTGCACAGAGGTCATAGAGATTGGTGAGAAGAATAAAAACCAGGTTGGAATGTCAACGGAAAGACTGGCTCGTCAATACAGATCTTCTAAGAGTGCGATACCATTGGGATTGAGAAGGAATGGTCTTAAATATCAAAAGCGATGTAGTGCCCCAGATACTTTCAAGCGCAACTCCTTCGTATTCCAAGATGCTGTCGTCAACTGAGGCAGGTACACTTTGCCAATGAAAAAATTATTATTTTAGATGACGAAAAGTATTTCACTTTGAGTAATTCTGACGATGGATTTTATACGGATAAAGTAGAAGAATGCCCTGATAATGTCAATACAAATATTTATAATATATATATATATATATATATATATATATATATATATTATATATATATATATATATAATATATATATATATATATATAATATATATATATATATATATATATATATATATATATATATATATATATATATATATATATATAATAAAAGTTTAAATTCGGCATTTTTAGGCATTTTTCAAATACTTCATATTTCTAACTCAAAATCGAAATTTCATGCTATAGGTTTTGAAGATTAGGTTCTAACAATGGAAATACCATAGTTTATTTCTTTAACAGCTTTATATAAACTGACTTAATTTGCAGCAAAATGCAAATATTGCACACGGAACCTTTAAATCCCATTTTGTTTTGTGTCGATAGAACACTCTTATTAAAAGATATCGAACGTTTACTGTCGAGTTAGTACAGATTCATGATCTGTAGTTTATAGTATCATGGTACAGATTTTATTTAAAAAATTGATTTCGCTCGCTTAACTGTCATTCAAAACAATCGATGTTCATTCTACACAAAAAGTGCTATAACATTTTTGTTCAAAATGATCTCAGATACATTTTTCTTGTTTAAATTAGTGTGTATAAAGGATTGCCTAAATTTGGATAATTGTCAGCTGTCAAAGTAAAACTAGTAATGTCAATTTATTATTTATTGTTCTACATGGAAAAGATAAATAGAGAATAGAGCTGTACAACAATATCAATATAGCAATTGATAATCCAAGCTGAATTTATTTTGGATGACTACAGCTAGTAACCACAAGTTATAGAATAGTGAAGTGAATCACATCAAGACATAATTTTTTTCCTTGATAATATTAACCTTTCAAGATGATGAACATACTTCTTCAACAACAGCAGCAACAACAACAGCAGCAGCAGCAACAACAACAACAACAAAACCCGCAACAGCCACTCATGCAACAACAAGTACAGCAACCACAGCAGCAACAACCCTTAGATAATATTTCTAAAATTAAGTCATTGATAGGACCCTTAAGAGAGTCTCTTTCGGTAAGGTTTTGTAAAAAATTGTAAAGGAATAAAAATAAAAGGAAAATTGTTTTTAGAATACCATTAAAACTTCTGCACAAACTCTTATACAAAACAGTCAAGTGGATGTTGGTTCACAGTAAGTACATTGTTTAAATTCATATCCTTAACTGTCACAGAACAAAACATGACAAAAAGGAAGCACATATCCACAAAAATCTTGTGTATCTTAGTGTATCAGGCCCTCAGCTGTCCTAGTTTGTAATCTAATCTAAATATATTATATACTCCATTCCATTAGCCCCAGCATATTTTGACAGATTCATTGTCGGAAACCTACAATACAACAATTCCTACTTCTCAGTATTAATAGCTTAAGTATTTTACTATTGCAGACTTCTTTCTTTGAAGAAAGAAGAATTATTCTAAATAGTGGAAGTGTATACTAAACTCATAACATTTTGGGTAGTATATATTTAAAAAATATATTTTAGTTGTTATAATTTAACATAACTATTTATTATGTGGCGCAGATAAATAAATATTGATTATCAGTAATTCACAAAGTTCTATTTTATTTACTATTTAGTTTGTTTACTATTAATATTGGCTATGAGTATGTGTGCTTGGTTGTATAGTAATTTCCAGCCACTTTTAGTCTGTCAAAAAGTAACTAACTTCGCAAAAAATAGTTACTAAATTCACTAGACAGTTTGGACTGGGAATAGTGAACCGAGTATAGTAAGCCTTTGCACTAGGTATTATTTTAGTTCAAAGTTTAGTAATTTTTTTTTCAGATCCTAAAACTGATAAAAAAAATGGTTTACTATATTACAAGAATCTTTCATTAGAATGCAATGGAGTTATAGCTCATTATAAACCTTCTGTAAAACAATCCTCCATTCTTCTGTTTCACAGGCAACTCTTTTCCAGCATTTAGCTCAGATATATTTTATGTGGTCCTCTAATTGTCCAGGTCCTAAGTTTTGGTCTTCTACTGATTCATCACCCCACCAGTCCTCTTTGATCATAAACTTTTCTGATTGTTGCATGTTCTTCTGGCCTGATTACATGCTCTATCTATTTAAAATGCGCTATTTAATAAATTTCACATCAGGCTCCCCGTAATGTAATGTGTGCATTACAATCCTTGCTTGGTATATTATTCTTAGAATGTGACTTTCATAGGACTGTGAAAGTGACCACATTTTTGCTCCATATGCTAACATGGGTCTTATTAGTGTTCTATATACAGTCAGTTTTATTGGCCTATGTAGGTTTGAGACCATATGTCCTCTAAGGTTGTAGTAACGCTTATTAGTATAAATTTCTGTTAATTTCTTTGCTGATGTTGTTTTCTTTAATCAGTAACAATGTAGACTCTGACTCTGCTATCTGTGTTGAGTTTAAGCTCTAATAGTTGAACAGAGAGAGGCAAAATGACATGATTTGAGTTACATTTATTTACTGAATCATGCAGCTTTGAAATCCACAATAATGTGGTGGGTATTATTGTCAAACTTTAGGGTTTTCTCAAGAATTTGTCTCACTGTAAATATTTAAGTAGTAAATTGTTAACTTGTTGGGTCAGAAGCCACACTAATATCCACCCACTATTTGGTTTGTTTAAAAAGCATTCTTCTGTATAACACATTAAAAAATTTTATGCTGTCTTGAGTAGGGAGATACCTCTATAATTATTGCACATTTTGTCACCCTTTTTGTGAAGTGTACACAGTATACCTAATTTCCCTTCCCAGGGTGTTTACTTAACCTGCCATATTTGAGTTATTAACTTATGCATGTGTTTCAAAAGGGGTTTGCCACTGTTTCTGAATAGTTCAGCAGGGAGATTATTAGAACCAGGGGCTTTGCTTTTTTTAATTTTAAAATGCCTCCTCTTTTTTTCTATGGTGGGAACTGACTCTTCTGTGTTTTCATTTATTTCAACTATAGGAACATCTATCAGGTCTTCCTCCTCATTGCCATTAAGCAGTCCATCAACATAATTAGCCTATCTGTTTATTATCTTCATCTTTACATACTATTATTTTGGATTTGAACTCTTTTCTATAACTATTCATTTGTTGGTAGAATTTTTCGTGGATCTTTTCATATAAAATTGGCACATAACATGAATACTTTTATGAAAAACTCACATTTTTGCAAAAACTAGCAGAAATAGATTACAATCCCAACAATATTCTAGTCAGTTTTAATATTACCAGCCTATTTACTAATGTGCATTTGAAAAAAAAAAAACTAAAAATACTAAAAACCAAAGTAGAGAGGGATGATACTTGACAACAAAAAACAGACTGGTTTTTGTTGTCCTATCAGTTATAATTATAAACAAGATTTTGTATTGGTCATGGACTCTTCATTATCTCCATTATTAGCAAATATTTTCATGGAAGAATTTGAGCAAAAAAATGTGTACAAATATGACCTAAACCCAAAGTATGTTGGAGATATGCAGATGATGTGTTGTCCATGTGGTGTCCTGGAACAGAAGTACTGAATAAATTTCTGATGGACATCAACTGTAAAGGAGAATCAATCAAATTCACCACTTAAAAAGAAAACAATTCACTACCTTTTCTATAATGTGTTCATTACAAAGGAGGGTACAGGACAGTGGCGGCTTTTCTTTATGTGCTGCTGAGCTGCAGAACTACCAAACAACCATAGCAAATCTTAATTATTAAAGAATAATTAATATAGTTTTATTTCAAATCTGCCATATTATCATATTAAACATAAACTGTTAATAATAATTCACCAACAACGATTATTAATATTATTTTTTTTACGTATTTACTCCTCTAGTGAAACCGTATAATTTTTTTACGTATTTGGTGCTCCAGTGAAGCAATCTTTTTACGTATTTGCTGCTCCAGTGAAGCCGCGTCGATAACAACCGAAACACTGGCAGCGGTTAAATGCATTTATTAGGCAAACGGCGATCTTAGCCGATGTGCTTCGGCAATCGGCTGATTAACGGCCTCGGAAATGTGTTTGCGAGCTGCAATTCACGACAGTTATTCGTGACCGTTGCATCTGTGCCAGAGAACTACGAACGCAGAGAAGCGACACTCCTTTCATCTTGCGTGGGCAAGCCGCCAACGAGTGAAAATGACAGGAAAGCACCTTATTTTTTAATAGTCAGTGGGCATATTACACAATATAAATTCTTAAATAAAATTTAGCATTTATGTTGACTTTCAATAAATATGAAATATTGCACATGAAATATATTTGTATTTATAAATAATACTTCATTACTTACAACTATAAGAGTATTAGTATATTCGAAGTGTATTGTAAATAATGAAGTATTTAACTTTGTCAATATCTCATCTTAATAAATTTACAGTTTTCTCCTGATTAAGTCACAAAATTGTCACTAAATATTGAGATATACAATAAATAAAGTTTTAATATTTTTTATTTGTAATTCCCATTTAAATATTTATTCCCTAAATATGTTGTGTACTCCGATCCATATATTTGATCTTTGTTATTTATATGTAACGAATTAAACATTGACAGACAACTTTTGTATATAGCAAAAAGTAGATGAGCATTTAGTTTTTTCATAATTTAATGTAAGTTTGTTTGGTGAAAAAGACAGCAAATATTTGAAGTTATGTTAATGTAAGTTTGTTTATTTGCAATCATGTTTTTATTTTGAAGTCTTGTTCTGTTATAATTTTAAGATTTTCCCAATTTTCGATCTAATTATGTCTCCAACAATTTTTAGTTTGAGCATTTTAGGAATTTCTTTGTTTCGTTTAAATCAAATATTCTCGTGTATAAAACCCTCTATATATTTTTATTTCCTAAAAATACTATATTCGTATTGTTGTCTGCGAGCGCTTTCACACCAGTAGGCCAACATCTGTGTTGATTTTTTGACCTGAGCCTTCGGAGACAATAAATTTAATGTGTGTTCGTAATTCTCTGGTTTTTATTAATAATTAATAAATAATAAATAATTGACTGTATAAAATTCTGTGGGGCTTTTGAGCTCGCCTTACGAGGACACGATGAATCTGAAACATCAGATAACCCTGGAATTTTTCGTGGTTTAGTGAATTTTTCTGCTGAACTTGATAAAACACTTAGTGAACACCTTACAAATGCGACAATTTTCAAAGGTACCTCAAAAACAATACAAAATGATATTTTGGATTGCATGCTAGAAGTATACGCTGAGGAGATTTTAAACGAAATCAATGAAGCCCCATTTTTAGCAGTGATAGCTGATGAGACAACGGATGTTTCTATGAAATTTCAAATGGTCATTGTTTTTCGTTATGTAAAAAACGGTGCTCCAGTTGAAAGGTTTTGGACTTTTTTGCTTCCAGAAAAACATGATGCTGAAACCTTAGCTAACACAATTTTGAATGTTTTAGACCCAATATTAAAGAATAACAAAAATAAGCTCATTGCACAAAGTTATGACGGAGCAGCTGTTATGAGTGGGATACATGGCGGAGTGCAAACAATAATTAAGAGAAAATATGAAACTGCTCATTTTGTGCACTGTTACGCCCATCAATTGAATCTAAAAGGTGCAGTGCCTTTACTAAAATTTATAATTTCTAATAATTTAGAGGACACATTAACAGAAACCAAAAAGTTGATACAAATTCTGGTGACTACGCCAATGACCACAGCAGAAGCTGAACGTAGTTTTTCAACTTTAAAACGGATCAAAACATTTTAAGAAATTCAATGTGCGAAGACAGATTAACAGCCCTTTCCACACTCTCGATAGAAAAAAAGTTCATCGCTTCAATACCGAACTTTAACGATAAAGTAATCGAAAAGTTTGCGACAAAAAAGGACCGGCGTATTAATTTCCAATTTAGAAAAATGCAATAAATGTAAGTTAATCAGATTTTTATAGCATGTCGTTATTAGTTACTATTAATTAGTATTAAAGCTAATTTTATTGTTTTTGTTTTCGTATGTTATTCTATTTCTATTATTTTATATTGACCGTGGTTCATGCAGCACACCCTATAGCAGATGTCACGAGCCGCCACTGGTACAGGACATAATGTAACCAAAGTGTACAGAAAACCAACATATATTTAAATTATCACTCAAACCACAACATAAATATCAAAAAGGAAATCTTCATATGTCTTACAATTTACTTATGTTATAATATAATCTGCATGTATGTTTGAAGTCTGCACTTCTTTTAGGAAAGGTGTGGATGTACAAATTCCTCGGTTTGACAAAAATTTGGAAGAATTCTACTCAATATGTGATCAAATAGAATTACATTTGGTAAGAAATATCAATAATACATTTAAAATAGTGATATTTTTATAGATACTCATTAAAATTAATTTATCCTATTAATTTATTTTTATTTTTTAGAAAACTTCACTGAAGTGCTTATCTCAACAAGAAAGTAGCAACAGATATTTAAATCTTCCTGTAGCTCCTACCAAAAGCGAGAGCTTGGGTCTTAATGACAACACCTTAACATATCCACAGTTTTTGGCTACTGCTACAGCACAAGTCTCCTACACAAAAGAAATTCATGATACATTAGTGGCTGCTGCACAGAATATATCTCCCTCTGATTGACTATTTCAGCTCTAGGATATTTAAAATGGAATGAATATTTATTATATGTGTTTTATAAAAAGTCTCAAGTAATTTTGTTTTTATACAAATAAAATGTACTCCTTTTTTCTTAAGGTCTTATATTCTTTTAAAGGTTAGCGATAATTATAATTATTTGAATTCTATTTACTGTTGCTTTGAATGACTGACTAGATGAGCAGTTGAATCATTCTCCGATATTGAGGAGCCAAGACATCTGCCTTAACGAATTATAAAATCAACCAATGGAATTTAAAAAATATGAAATAATTTTAATATTACAAACAAATGTGTTGAAGATTCCCTAATACTTTATTTTAGTAAGTGAGACACAAGATGTAAATGTATGGCTTAGATAAAAAAAGATAGTTGACAGAAAAGTAGTCATATTAATGACCTACATTCTAATTCCACGATTTGGAAGAGTGATTCATTGTTTAAAGGCGGAGAACTGGGTCAGAGACTTCGGCACTTTCTCGGCAAAAACTAGTTTTACGACTATCTGTGAGTCGGAATTACTCCGTCGCTACTTCCACAGTTGCCAAACCATTGAAAAATAATGTTTTAAAATATTGATTTTTATTTTATAAATTTAAATATGTAGCGAAACGGAACATTTAAATAAAATTTATTTCATTACAATTTTGTGCTTAATTTTTACTATTGAAAAAATCATGTTTTTTGGTATTTTTATAACTTTAATAATCGCTGCGTGGAAGAATACAGGTTTTGTATGACCATAATTACTACTTGTGAACAAGAATTGGCTACACTGTACGACAACTCCTCGTCAAGTCTTCTATAGAGAAGCACAAATAAATATACTACTTATATATTCTGTAATTTCTTATGAGAAAACGCAAATTGCAATTGAGAAAACGGGTAGTTTTCGAGGGCCGCTGTGTACATTTAAATTTGAGGATATTCGGCGTTTAAACGATGAATCACTCTTCCAAATAGTGGAATTATAGCATAGCTTAATTCAAGGATTGTCCTCTTCTTTCTTCTTCATTTTCAGAAAATTATATGTTTTATTAAAACCACTGGCTCCATATTTAAGTCATCACTTAAACATGTCCTACAAGTGTTTTATCTTGAGCAATTCTCAACACTTTCCCTTCTGCCGTTGTATTAATGTATTCATTCCATCCTTTCTTTAATATCTTGTCATTAATATCTTCTTACAAGTGTGTCTTATGTATTTTTTTTGTCCACTACTATCTTTTCAGATGTTCTATGATATAGGTACATTCACTCCAATGTTTCCAGTAGTTTTTTGATTTTGGATATGTCTGGCACAGTTTTTGTCTTATGGATTCTTGATTACGCCTCAATACAATTTATGTTTCTCCATATTTTGTCACTTCTTGCCAAAACTTAATATTTTTATATCTAAATATTTGAATGTAATGTCTTGCTTGAATGTGAATATACGTACCTGGGAGTAATCTTCGATAGAACGGGAAAAGACGATGATGAAATAAAGAAAAGGGTTACACAAGCTAGAAGAACAATTGGCTGCCTAAATGGAATACTTTGGAGTTCTGAAATAGGAATAAAGCGAAAATATAACATCTATGAGTCACTAATTAAAAGCAATCTACTTTATGGAGCAGAAACTTAGAGAATAACCGAGAACAACAGAAAAAAATTAGAAGCTCTAGAAATGGATGTGTTTAGAAGATCGTTAGGTATATCCCGCAGGGAAAGAGTTCGAAATGAGGAAGTAAGACGAAGAATTGGAATAGATGGTTACTTAACAACAGACATTGAGAGGAAACAGTTGATTTGGTATGGTCATGTTCAAAGAATGGAAGACACAAGACTACCCAAGAAGATTATGCAGTGGGTACCACCAAACCGCAAAAAACGAGGAAGACCCAAAAAGACATGGAAAGAAGGGGTAACTAAAGCAATGAGTACAAGAGATCTTAGAGACGGCCAATGGGATGATAGAAGGACGTGGAAGTTAGGCATCGGACAACGTCGAAAGACGTTCTAAAACCTATATATATATATATATATATATATATATATATATATATATATATATATATATATATATAATGTCTTGCTTGATAATAATCGTCTTTTGGGTCAGACGAACACTGACTGTATCTAGCATCCGATCAGGAGACTAATAGAAGTAATAATAATAAATCACACTTCAAAGTTAGTTTATGAGCACAGTACCTACGCTCCCTAATATAACTTGCAGTCATTTTCAAGCATCATATCTGTGATATGCTTGTAGTAAAAGAGAGGTTGGTTTGGAAAAGTCTGGATATCCACTTTATGGAATAGTCTAGAGGTCATCAAACAGCTTGGTCTATCAAATACTTTTATAGAGCCATGCGGTACTGCTCGCAACGTCTAGATGCGTCAGAAAGATTTGTGGGAGATACTATATCATACCAGATCATCTAGTGAGCGATAACACTTCAAAACTCAATCCTGTTGATTCCTTATATCAAGGGTTCCCAATTTTGTTTGGCCTCGAAACCGTAATTGACGCTATTTTTTTTCTTTTTGATGGAACCCTATTTTGATAAATAAAGAAAGTATATTGTAGTTGGAATATCTTTCATGTAATAGCGGCTTTCCACGGTCGGCGATATTACGGACGTAAGCGGACCAGCACGCACCACGCACCGTGGGAAGGGTTTCGTCCGTGGTAGCGCAGGCACGTCTGTGCTGGTCCGTCCTATCCATCTAGAGTCGGTAACATCAAAGGTGCGGTACATGCTCGTGCGACGCGATCCTAGCGCGTCTGTGTTTTAACCGACAACAAGTGCAAGTCAGAAGTTTTTCATTCGCTGACACGAGTAGTTGTCTGTAGTGTTGTCAAAGTTGTTTTGCAGTTTTTTGCTAAAAAATGGAATGGACAAACGAAGTTATTTTTGATTTTTTAAATTTGTATCAAAATGAAACAAATGGAATTCTACGGCACCAGAGCATAAGAAACAGAACCGATATATACGATGTATGGAACCGAATAAAAAATCAATTGAAGAATAGTACTATTTCGATTGGAGAATTAAAAAAGAAGAGAAATAATTTAATGCCGAATTTAATGTTTACAAGCCTGAGTGGCCTTTTTATGATATTAAGTTTTTTCACACATTTTTTTATAATATTAAAATTAGGCTTAATGTCTGACAATTGAATGCGAAGATCCGAAGCTGCATCCAGCCTATTTCTGAACTTGTTTTTGGTATCAGAGTAAGTTGAAAAACCAGTCACAAAAGAAAGTAGAACCATGATAGCTTTCTCAACTATTGCGGAGTATTCATCTTTAAGTGAAATCCAAAAGTCATTCAGATTAGAATCTTCTGATTCGAATTTTTGTTTTAGAAGGGATGAACACTTAATGTCGATCAAATTCTCATACTCTGGCATAGTTAGCATCGATGGCTTGGTATGTTTTGTGAATGGATTCTGAACCCAGTCGATGTCCGGCATAACAGACAGGCTCGATAACACTGAAAGACTCCCCAGAGCTCAATCTTTTTGATACCGTAGGTTTTTTCTCCTTAGTGGGGGTGAGAGCTGTATTGCTTAAATTTGGAAATAAAAGGAAGATATATGATCTACTTTAAACAGCACAATTCGCGCATTAAAAGACACAGCACCTATTACACTGAGGAAATAAGAGATGCACACAAACTTTGTATCCAATGAGAAAAAATATATATCTGGATGGAGAAACCTGTGCATAGTCAAAAGACCAATGAAATCAGCGAAGAGTATGTGGATAATACAGCTTTGAACTATTGGTTGAAATCATGAAAAGTGTTTCCCGTAACAGAACGGATCGTACTTACCATTCGGGATCAGGAAATTTCCAAAAAAAAGCTGCCCAAAACATCATTAAAGACCGTCAGGTGCAAAACGACAAATACCGATACTGATAAGACCAAAAACCATTTTAACATCTTACCGTAGGTCCGTCAGGTGCAAAACGACAAATACCGATACTGATAAGACCAAAAACCATTTTAACATCTTACCGGAGGACTAAATATATAGAACAGTCTGATTCTGTAGGCAAGATGCTCTATCAGGAATTCATGATCTATCCATTTCGGAATACCACCACAAAAACTTACTTACTAATACTTTTGTAGATACTGGAAGAGATATAAGCTATAAACTATTTCTCTTGAAAGAAGAATAGAATTCGAATTAAAAAAGGTAACTGAAAGTAATAACACAAATGAAGAATACCATAATCTAAAAATAGAAATACCTATGTAGGTAAGGTTGCAGAGCAAATAAATAACATAAAGTGGAAGAAAAAACCAGAACGCTCTTGGCTGCCTGACCAAATAAAAGAAAAAAACAATTTTTTTAAGTGACGGACAACTAAAATCCAGCAAAACATAGATCCATTACTTAATAAAGAAGTAACATATAGAATTTTTACTTTACTACATACTTTTAAGTCTACTAGAATATTTGATATGGACGAAACCGATATATGTATGGTCCAAAAACCTAGAAAAGTCTTAGCTACTAAGAGCCAACATCAGGTGGATTCTGTCACAAATTGGGAAAGAGGCAGAGACATTACGATTGTCTGCACTGTGAGTGCTTCAGGTGCATACATACCGCCCATGTTTATATATCCTATTCAGAAAAGGTCACCTCAGTTAGAGAAAAGTGGACCAGCTGGAGCCATTTACAAAGATTCCATAATGGCTGGTCAAATGAAGATCTCTTCATGCGGTGGCTCACACATTCAAAGACAACGTAAAACCAACAAAGGAAGATCCCTTATTATTGATCATGGACAATCACGATAGTCACATATCTCTTGATAGTTATAATTATTGTAGATCTAATCATATACATGTGGTCTCAATACGACCTCATACATCACATATACTAGAGCCTTTGGATTGATCGTTTTATGGGCCCCTGAAGAAAGTATTTAACATACATTGTGATAGGTTTTTGAGGGAAAACCAATTTCAGAAGATTTCTATGTATGATATAGCATCTATATTTAATGAAGCTTACTTGAAAGTCGCAACTA